TTTTAACCAATTAAAGTTTATAAGTTATAGATTAATATGTATCAAAAATTTCAATTTTTTAAAAAATGTCTCAGAACACCATTTTCTTAGCAAACTTCCCATATGTCATTTAAACCATCAAGCTTAAAAAAAAATTACAAAATGGCAATATCAGTATAATATGATAAAAGTAAATGATGGGAACTTCTATTCAAGACATCTTAAAATTTCCAGATGCGTGGTTATTGATACCCAATCCTGTTTTAAGAAATTCTACTCTAAAACTGAAAAAAATAGTCTCGCATATTACTTAAAGGAATGTAATCTTAATAACAAACAAAGTGGATTTACCTATTCATCGCATGAACAAATATTATGAAAGGGCATTAAAAAAACAAATATCACAATGGCTGAGCAAATATGTGAAGTGGCTAAATATTGCATTATCAATAATCTTAGCTGTCAGCAGTTAATGATCAAATGTAATGTAATCAATGAATATAGGAAGATTGTGAGTATAGCATTTATATCATTATTCAATATTAGTAATACCTGATGAAATTACCTTTCTTAATATGACGAAATTGACGAAACCAAAATGACGAAACTAGTTTTTTATTATAATGAAATTATTTTACTTAATTGCCAAAATTATATTTAACTTGATCTAAATTCCTTGAATTAAAATACATTAAAAAATATAATAATTTTATATTTATTCATATAAAAATATTAAAGAGACGAAACTTTTGATGAAATTACAATTTTTTAAAAAAGAGTTTAGTCAGGTATCACTATTCGATATGCATTATTTTGCAATAGAAATAAAAGTGCGTAAACCTTTAAGTGCCGATGCATGGCAGGAAGGAATTTTAATCAGTATAATTCTATGTGAACAAATGGAAACAGGAAAATACCCTGAAGCCTATATTTTCCCACTGGTAAGGATCTCAAAAATAGACATTCTGTAACTGGCTTAGACTTTGCATTATTATATCCGAATCTTATCATGACATACAATCTCTTATCTGATAAAATTATTTTATCTCGAAAGCATGCCAAATCTCTAAATGAAAGCGGTAAAAAGCTTCATGAAATAAATTTCAAATTCAATAATCGGAATATTCTTACGTGGTTTATAAAGCATGAAAACTAAGCTGAAATGAAAGACCTTTATCCAAAAGTATTAGAGGGGTTGCTAATTAAATGAAATTCACTAAAAAAACATCTTGCTCCATTAAAGGATTAAAAGAAGAATTAGAAAAGAAGATTAGTTTAACGGAAGCAAAGAGTGAGGTCATTATAGATGCTTTAAAATCTGAATACTTTTCAGTTTTCTTCAATGACGCTTATCTAGATGCTCAACAACTCGCTTTAAAAGTGTATATGAATTCATTTTATAGTGAAGCAGGGAATAGTGACTCCTAGTGATACCTGACAAAACCCTATAAATAATCAGTATAAGGAAAGTATACGGAAATAATACGTTTAAAAAACGTATAAAAAACGTAGAAAAA